AGTACAAGAAGTCATACGAAGAGGCGTATGAAATGGTGAAAAGACATCGAGATATTGGACCCAATTATGGTTTTGTTACTCAATTGAAACTTTTTCACGAAATGAATTGGACTTTAGATGCAAACGATAGGAACTTGAGACGATATCTTTTGGAAACGATTCTCATCTATGGTACCATAAATGAACGAATCAGTTGCCGATGTATTTCACTCAACTCGAGTCCATTGAGAAATCAACCACAGAGATCGATATGGGTGTCAACTACCTGTGCTCTGAATGCGATGTAAATCTATTCAATGAGATTCATGTCATCAAATGGGATGCAAATGTGAAGGAATCTGAATCGACGAGCGGTTCGTGTGATTACATGTTTATTGAGCCCCAAAAGTGGATGAAAGACTTGTTTGAAGTCAAAGAAGGAGATGATATTACTGTTGACATAAAGTGTCCCAATTGTTCAGAAGTTTTAGTGGATTATAATTTCAAATTTAGTCCCTTTCCCTGTGACTGTCCCCTTCACAGTCACGAAGAATTGTCAAAATGCTTGCGCTTTCGTATTGACCGCAAGAAAATTAAGAGTGAAATCTAATTGTAGATCTCTAATGCTATTAATCTCATGTATTAAAGTTTAATATTTAATATCAATACTTATTTAAATTAACCTATTTAAAACAATAAATAATTATCAAAATGTAACCAATAATCTTGAGATATTAAAGTAAAGTAAAATAAAATATTTTTGAAGAATATTAATGTACCGCTTATTTTAATTAATACTATTAGTCAATGAAAATTGTTGATCTGTTGGGTTTTTCTGACAAGTGAGTAAGGTAAAACAAACAAAACTTTACTATTAATAGCTTTAATTTATAGCTTTACAGAAAATAAAATCAATAGTTGTCTCGAAATTAAGTAATTATTTAGATATAGAAAATATTTAAATATTAGTAAGAAATTCTTACTAAGAATACTCATCTCAGCTTGAATTTTAAAACCCTTTATCATTTAAGTTTGAAATTTACAGTATAATTGAATATAAATTATACTCAACTGAAAGGAAATCTACTTTTTATCGCACAATAGTTTAACTTAGACTGCCAAAAATTAAAGGGTAACAAATAAATTTTGACTCAAAATATTTTATTTGTTCAGTTGTAGTGCTTTTGAAAATGTTAATTAATAGACTAAATCTTTTTCTAAGTATTATATTTAAGTCACTGATAAATTACTATTAATTGATTCAATTAACTCATCGATAGAATGATTATTGATTTAATCAATAGAATATTTGTATTAAAATCAATTCAATAATTATAAAGTAATAATTTTAATGAAATTTCGTTTTATAGACTAAAAACTAATAACATTATTAGCTATTATTTAATTAATTCACTTATTTTTCAAGTATTACTAATATAACTGATATTAAAGTTTTTCTGATAACTAAAGTAGTTGTTACCGGTATAACTAATCTAATATAATGAATTGTAAAACAATTGTCTAACAAGTCATATCTTTTAAAAGATTATTTCAAAATTATAGATGTTGTTTCTGATAAATGACATAATTTATAATTAAATTTAATTTAAAACCCAATTTAAATATAAAAAATTAATTTTTTTTGTGCAAGTAAAATGAATAATTGATTGAATAGGTAACAAATTAATAGAGTAAATATGAACTCGATTGAAATAAATAACAGGTTATTACCATTAACATGAATATTTTGTGCTAAATATTTTTATGCTATTTAATGTACAGAGTATATTCATTTCAGAAAAATTGATTTATTATTATAAATCCATACTTATGATCTGTAAAATGAATGCTGTAGTTTCAATTAACATTTATTTAAAATTTAAATTATAACAATTCAATACTTATAATATTAAAGAAATTTTTTTATACAATTCTGAGGTAAATATTTTGAATGAGTATCACTATACCGCTTATTTAAATGAATAGTTTATTTAATAAACTTTATTCGTTGGAGTATTCTCACAGTCAGTTGGGATTAAATAAACAAAACTGAATAAACTTTTCCAATCAAAATATTAATAGTTTTATGAATTTATAGTTTCATATCATTATTATCATGAAATCAAACAATTCCTAATGTGATAAGAATTCATAAGTGAAAGGGGAATATCTAATACTAATTTTAGTATCTAATGGTGACTTTATTTTCAACTAACCCACAACTATCAAATTAATTGAATTCACAATATTAACAGTGTACGGTATTTATATTAAATTCAAACCAATTATTAAACGATTTTAATGAACTGCTATTTTATAGATCAAAGGCTTAAACATGAAGATAAAGAATATGGATCTGATTGAAGACAATCTATTTCTAGGAAATCAAATGGCGGCCAATGATGTGGAAACCCTGCAATCAGAGGAAGTCAAGTATGTGCTGTCCGTCTGGAACTCTGAGTTGAACACCAAAAGCGAGTCCATCACATACATGAAGATCGATGTCCAGGACTACCCGGGAGAACACATATTGTCTTATTTTGTCGAAGCCATTCATTTTATACGACAGGCCCAGGATTCTGGTCGTAACATACTAGTCCATTGTCATATGGGTTACTCGAGATCTGCCACTATTGTGATCGCATTCCTCATGAGAAAGTACAGGAAGACATACAAAGAGGCGGAACAACTGGTGAGACAACGAAGAATTATTGGACCAAATCCTGGTTTTGTTACTCAACTGAAACTCTTCTATGATATGAATTGGACTTTGAATGCAAACGATAAGAAACTTAGGAATTGTCTTTTAGAGACTATTCTCAGATCAGGGCACTTATGGTACGGGGATTGGATTAATCAATTAGCCAGGTATTTCACGCAACTCGAGACCATTGAGAAATCAACCACAAAGATCGATATGGGCGTCAACTACCTGTGCTCTGAATGCGATGCAAAGCTATTCAATGAGATTCATGTCATCAAATGTGGTGAAAATGACAAACAATCGGAATCTGAATCGACGAGTGGTTCGTGTGATTATGTGTTTATTGAGCCCCAAAAGTGGATGAAAGACTTGTTTGGAGTCAAAGGAGAAGATATTACTATTGACATAAAGTGTCCCAATTGTCCGGAAATCTTAGTGGACTATAACATTAAATTTAGTCCCTTTCCCTGTGACTGTCCCCTTCACAGCCATCAAGAATTATCAAAATGTTTGCGTTTTCGTATTGACCGCAAGAAAATCAAAATTGAGTCTTAAATGTAGATCTCTTAATATAATTACGAACTAATGTGTTAATTTTGTTTAAACATGCATTAAGCATATTGCAACTGGTATTAAAGTTTGATTAATTAACTGTATGATTATTACTTATTACCTAATATATAATAATTATAATGAATTGCAAAACAATTGTCTTTTATGTCATCATCTCCTTTATACCGGTAGATGAGTTCAAAGTGATAGCTATTGTTTGAGTGCAATCATCGCATTATAAACTTGTTGCTAATGAACCAAATTGAAAAACCAGTGAAATATAATTTTTTGTAACAAATAAAATGAATATTCATCGATAAATCTTATAGAGTAGACATGAACTCAATTAAAGGTTGTGTGTGTTTTACGTGACTAGTATTTTGTTATCAATAATCGATTGGATTAATTGTAACTTAAAAACTCTTATCATTGTATAATTATAGACTATAATACCGTATAGACATTAAGACTCCGCATGTCACATAAAATTGAAAATTATATCAGATTTAAAAATTACAATTAGATTTTGTGATATAGAAAGTCAGTGATTGGCATTTAGTAGAGAGAGTCAGCAAATGCTAAAAATATCTTCATTTGAATAATACTTATTCATTACGAGTCAGTTAATTGTGGAAATTGTTATGTTTTGATAAACAGATGTTTAACTTATATATATATATATACGTCCAATTCCTCATTAATAATTACATTTAATTAAAACACTATTTAGTAATTAATGTACACTTTTCTTAATGATTTCTTCAAACATTGAAATATTTATAAACAAATTGATGAAAATATAGAAATACGTCAAAAAATTTCTTAATAATTATGATTAATTTAGTATTGATAGTAAAGACTTTGTATTAGAAATAAATGAAAATATTGTAAAAGTATTGGAGATGAGACTCACAGAGACTGCAGTCCTGGCGTACATCGACTCGGAAACCACATGAGGGACAGTGAGTGGCGATAATAGTCGGTGCGAGCGATGAATATTCAAAAGTTGTTAAACAAATCAATTGGTTTGCGTTCGCCATTCAAATATACTCTTGTCTTATGTGTGGCTTCAAATCAATCGCTTCTCAATTGCCTAACATTTGGCTGACGAGAGAATTGATAACAAATTTATATATAATAAATATTTTTTAATATTTGGAAATTTCAAAATTCAAACGAATATATAAAAAAGTTATGTAATTTTGGGCAAAAGAAAGCTGTCATTAGATGAGACATAAAGAGTGAACACCAGTTCAACAGATAATGCATTTCGTGTTATCTAATCGTCACTCATAGAGAATAAGATTGTTTGGGAATTAGTTAAACACATATTAAATACATATCAAACACATTGAGCGCTATTAATGACGCCAAACATAATTGCATAGAAATACTAGTACTATATTAAGGTATATGTAGTGGAAAGTCGAGCACTTTTATGTAATATTTAATTAAATTTTGGTCTATATATTTATATTAATACTGTATACAATATTTATCATTACATGAATTGAGTCCTTAAAATGAAAACATATTCCCAAACAGTTGTGCATTAAATCCAAAACATGACTGAAATCACGGACTCCTTTACACCCCTATCTTATACTAAATTATATTTACAAAAAACAACTTTTAAATATGTGTTGAATAATCAACGAATTACACAAATTTTTAAGTAATAAAAACTTTTTTAGAAAAACATATTTCAACCGCGTTTTAAGCGCCGAAAATGAGAGTTTTATTTTGACTGTTGAAACAAATTTTGTTTTTCTTCAGAGATTAGAGTCACACAACTCATGAGGTTTTTGGCTAAACAGTGACTGCAGTGACAAGACTCCCAAACAACTTAAAGACATTGAGTTATTGAAATGATTTGCATTTGTTGTTTGCATTTCTGTGCCCTTATATCCTGAGCTAAGAATAGTTCGCTGCCTAACAGTCTCTCCCATTCCCCTCACCACTAGTGTTGAGTATATCCTTGCTTTCAGATAAAGACTTCTTTTTTGAATATCTCTTCAAAGGGTTTTGTTTTTAATACTGTTTTTTGTGTTTAATTCGTTGGCTACTAATCAAAGCGAATGCAATCCAAAGCCTATCTCTGAATGTCTTCCTCATCATATTTTTTGTTATTATTTTAACACAAAAAAGTTTGTTTGATATGCATTTGCATAACAGGAATCTTC